CCGCTGCTGCCAGCCAGGCCCGAGGGCCCAGGGCACGTGGGCACGCCCGGACTGCTGTGTACTGGGGCCCGCGGTGCCTGCGGAGGACGTAGCCACGGGGCGGGAGGTCCTGGGGATCCCTGCGTGGGACCCAGGGGAGCTGCAGGCCAGCAGGCTCGTTGCAGCATGTGGGGCTCCTGGGTCTCCCCGGGGTGTGGACAGGACTCAGACATGCTGGGGTAGTCCCTGGCCCTGCTGTCTGTCTCCCCATCACTATAATCTCTCTGTTTTACAGCTCCCCAGTCTGTCCCTCTGTATCCCGCACCCCGGTCCTGAGGGACCAGGAACTGGGGGGAGGATGAGCACGTGGAGGGAGGATGGAGGGTGAGGACATGGCAGGTAGTGATGCTTCAACGAAAGCCAAGTCCCCGCCCCAGTCTGGCCCCCTGCCCCACGTGGGAAACAAGCAATCCCAGAACGTGGAGGTCCAAACCCTGCAGCAGCCCCCACTACCCCGGCGCTCATTACAGCCCAAAGGGCAAAGCAGCACACGAGGTGGGCGACAAGGGAGCCCCAGGTCCCTTGCCCCTGGGCATGGCCCGCTGGGGGGGTGGGCTGTGGTTTAGGAGTCCTGGTGACTGGGCTGGGCCTGGCCAGCTGCCAGCATAGGGGTCCCAGAGCAGCAGCGGGTGAGGGCTGGGCACCGGGGGCCACAGGACCCCACGCTGTGGGGCTGGGGCCCTGTGCACATCCGGGGTGGAAAGCAGGACCAGACTCTCTCTCCCAGTGGTGCGTTTGGGGGCACGTCCCCATGTGTGCATACAGGCATGTGAGCTCCATAGGTACAGATGGAGCATATCGCTATAAAAATACACCTTTATGGGGTGTTTGCATGCACGTGCACCACCGAGTCACAGAATGGTTCAGATTGGGAGGGACCTTCAGAGACCGTCCAGTCCAACTCTCCTGCCATGGGCAGGGATGTCTTCCACCAGACGAAGTTGCTCAAAGCCCCGTCCAGCCTGACCCTGAAGACTGCCAGGGAGGGGACATCCACAGCTTCTCTGGGGAACCTGTGTCAGTGTCTCACCACCTCCATCGGAAAACATTTCTTCCCTATGGCCAACCTAAACCTGCCCTCGTTCAGCTTAAAACCGTTGCCCCTTCTCCTGACACTACAGGCCCT